CTCCAATTATTACACCTTGGTGGTTTAAACGATCAATTATCGCCCATAATTTGTGGGCCACGCTGTGCAATTTCTGTGTTTCGAGCAGCATAGCCATACACAGTTTCTCTGTCATTTGCCCAAGATACAAGATCGCTTAATTTACGACAAATGTAATGTTTCGGGGAAGTCGCCAGCATTGGCGGTTGGAAAGGACCAAGGAAGGGGAAACTGAAGTGTAAGTTGTCACATTTAGCTAATAATTACACACACTCGGACACTTTTTAACAGAGTCTTTAGCGAGACTCAATTAAAAGCGCAATCATTAGCTGACAACTTTCCACAGGCGTGCAAATGATCAAGTGCTTCTTGTAAATTGTCGAGAGGTTGTGTCAAGTTGCCTTTGAAGTACCAAACATTGTTCCATCCAGGTGCTAAGCTCGACACTCAAGTTTTCCATTTCTCCTAACGTGCAGGGCGGGTTTGAGCATTTCTAGTACAACAAGACAAAATCTCGTTTTTGTCATAATTTGTTTTCTCCTCGTTGGCGCCGGCGGTCGAAAAAAGATCTGCCGTCTTTCTTTTCTCTGGAGTCGGTTTGACTGGGAGAGTTGTGGCGATTAACTGCTTGTGCCGGTCGGGGGCAAAGTTATTCAATTGGTGCTGGTGTGTTAGCTGTTCACCTGTTAAGTGGATCCTTATAACTTGACAAACTCCTAATCCCTATCATCAAAAGTGAGACGGCACCTTCAATTGGTTTAGTGTTCGAGCCTGTCAGAGGATCAAAACTGAGCATGATCGTGAGAGGAGGTTTGATCCGTGCCAGGGAATAAATAGCTTTAGGCTTCAATTTTGTTTGTTTTTGTTAATTACTGATAAGTGTGTAATTGGTGACCATTCGAGTAGGATCACCTGTGCTAATCTCGTAAGTTTGGCTTGATTAATGCCTCATCTGTTTCGAATTTGTACATTTACTTTATGGTCGTTATGGCCCCACGAGGCCCATTGAGGAATTCTGTTTTCGCTTAAAGTCTCCACTGCTTATTCCCATTTCGCCCCATAAAACCCTCTAAGCCCTTCTCAATTACAATAAACAAGCGCAAACAATAAGTCCCCCCTTCCTTATAACAGCAAAAAGATCAAATACCCACCTCACAAGAAACAAACCCCCCCCCCCTCTATCTTTTCAGAAACAGTTTCTATTTATACAATTACTTCATTTGAAGAGGGGGATAGTTTTCACCGCCTAACAAACAACAACTACAACACCTACTGAGGAAAAATTCAATTACAATTATCAATTATACAATTCAATTGCAATTATAACTAGCAACAATCACTCTCTGTTAACTCGGAGTCTCGGGGGGATTATAAATCTGGCCGAAGTGGCTTATAAGTTAGTTAACCACTGTCTGTTAGGGACTACTAACAGTATCCTTTTCCCTTCAGCAATCAAATCACAGATAGTCCATTTCATTCCTAACAAGGTGGACAGACCAGACCAGAGCAGACCCAGCTGCTACCCCAATTCGACATCAACTAACAGTAACTCAACTATCTCTCTCTTCCTTTCATTGTTTCTTTCGTTTTTCATCTCAATTCCCAATCAAGCAGCTCTTAGTTGATCTTAAATTGAAGTGCTGCAGGCTGTCAAATTACAACTAGCAAACGACCATAAAACAGATATTAATCAAATTGGAAACCTGCTCATCTAACAATTGCGGAATCCGGAACAACTAGCAGTATACGCCGGTTGCGGAATCCACTTACAATTTCCGGAATAAATTTTCCGCTCCTATTTCACAGAATCCGCTTACAATTGCAGAATCCGGAACAACTAGCTATATTCGCCGGTTGCGGAATCCAGTTACAATTTCCGGAATATATTTTCCGCTCATATTTCACAGAATCCGCTTACAATTGCGGAATCCGGAACAACTAGCTGTATACGCCGGTTGCGGAAGCAGTAACAAAACTAATGTGCAAGCGAAATTTACGTTACACCTTTTTGTACGCAGAATCCGCAAATTTTTTTTAAGTGGGTTTCACTTACAATTTCGAACATGTTTGAAGAATTGTCTCTGGATTTCAGTGACATACAGACACTAAATTGTGGGCCTATCCAAAACAATTGAAGTGTAGAAAACGAAATTTTGGTGGCATATTCCACTATTAAAAGCCTGCTCGCTCGATTTACTTATTCAAAATTGAATTGAAACTTAAAATTTTAAAACCCGTTTTTCTCGGCACTGGGACTTGGAAATTTTTTAAATTTCGTTCGAATCAGGCCTGAAAGGGATTCAATATGATATATCACGCCACTCAATCTGATGATTTTTTGTGCTAACTGATTTAGTTGATGGCAACAAAAAGCCTGCCCTGTTCGCTTATTTTATATGCTCGAAAATTCAAAAATTTAAACGGGTTTTGGACGACAATGTGAAAACTTTGCCAAAAATTTTAATTTCGTTCAAATTATAAATGAAAGGTTTTCGATAAGATATGTCACTCGACCCAATCGGATGTTTTTTGTGTTCGCTGATATTGCGAGGAAAACAAAAAATCTAAAACACACTCGAATACAAAGCTCTTCCACATTTTCAATGGTCGGAACTATGAGGGTTCTTACAGCGCGTGGCTCTGATTGATTAGCGTCGGAGTTTCTGCAAGGAGCAAACATCTAGTTATTGATTGGAGTGGTTTTATTCTTAAATGTCGTTGTAATTACTATAAACAAAAGCAGAGATTTCCTATGATTGAAAAAATTTGAAACTGTCTTGATTGGGGTAATTGGACACAAAGTGGTTGTTTCTGCTTCAAAGGAGCTTTAAATTGACAAATGTACTTAATATATTTTCAAACATAAAGATCAACAGCTTCATCCATAATATGTGAAAACGTTAAGTGATTTTCAACAGTGAGTCTCTAAAAAACTGCATCAAAAAATGCGCAAATCGATCACAGCTTGGCCCTGGCAGTTAGTCAAGGAACCCAGTTAATTTAATCTATAATTTCTATCTATAACTATGAGAAAATGATTGATATTGATTGATTCAAAGTTGGTCACGCGCGCTGCTTGAAGAGCTTCACGGCCTGAACACTATCTCCTAGCCCGAATAGCCCTCAGACAGAACTGCACAAAGGATGTTAGAGTCCGAAAAAGAAAGCAAAACCAGACAGTTAAGCCATTTTAGTGGTGTTTTTGGGTTTCTTCTTCAATCTGTCATCTAAGTTCTAACCGAAACAAGAATATACGCTGCTGTGCAGATGGCACAGAAAGTTCCGACCACAGCTATCTTTGCATTTTCAAAACAGTTTTTTCATAACAATTTTAGGTGGATGCAGGGGCGGATTTAGGGGGGGGCGGGGGGGGCGGACGCCCCCCTTCAGGGATTCGACCCCCTGCCGACCCAAAGGGTCCCCCCTTTGATACTTTTTCAGAAATCCATTTTTGGCAGATCGACCCTAAAATTTTTCTAAAGGCGCCTTTGGCGCCAATATATACTAACTTTGAGGGGGAGCGCGCGCCAAAAAAAACACTATTTTTTGTCAAAATTTTTCAAAAAGTGCCCAAAAACGGCTTTTTTGACAGTTTTTTCAAAAATTTGCCTGCGGCGCAGAAAATTTTGCCAAAATAGGGGCAAAACAGTGCTTTGGGAGAGCTCGAAAAATCAATTTGGTCGACCTAAAAAAAAAAAAAAGGTCGTCAAAATTTTGGAAAATTTTTTGAAAATCCGCCCCCCCCCCTCGAGAAAATCCTAGATCCGCCCCTGGGTGGATGTGAAATACTAGGAAAGCGCGAATATTAGCGCCAACAACATTTTATTACTCCGCCTTTCGAAGAAAGTGACCTAATATTTGTGCTTGGATTGGTTTTTTTCTCCAGACAAATTAAGACCTTTAAAACTAGCAACATTTGACGAAATTTGTTTAATATCGGACAGTAGTAAAGTAAGGTTGTCTTGAGCTCAAGTTTATCTAGTTTTCAGTACTAATAGCGTAGTTAAATGTTGTTTTTGAGTATCTTCTGGATGTTGTTTTTCCATTACTTTTCAATATTGAACGAATCGCGGCTTAAAGAGGTAAAGATTAAAAAACACTATTTTCTGAGTTGTCTGCGAGGAACTTGATTTTGTCTGGAACAAAACAACTCGAATACAAAGTTCCTTGCCACTTAGGATAGGAGCCGGAACAAAAAAAAGATTAAACCATTTCTAAATAATAGCATAGGGTACTTGTTACTGCTGGAAATTCTGCCCGGGGTTCAGTGGGGGTCTTCCACTTAACACTTCTGTACTGGTGTGTGAACACATTTGAGTGGAAATGGTGTTTCTAAGATAGAAATCAGTGATTCGATAAGTTTTGATCTAGTCTTAATGGTCATTTATTATCTCTAACCACTCCAATTATTACACCTTGGTGGTTTAAACGATCAATTATCGCCCATAATTTGTGGGCCACGCTGTGCAATTTCTGTGTTTCGAGCAGCAAAGCCATACACAGTTTCTCTGTCATTTGCCCAAGATACAAGATCGCTTAATTTACGACAAATGTAATGTTTCGGGGAAGTCGCCAGCATTGGCGGTTGGAAAGGACCAAGGAAGGGGAAACTGGAGTGTAAGCTGTCACATTTAGCTAATAATTACACACACTCGGACACTTTTTAACAGAGTCTTTAGCGAGACTCAATTAAAAGCGCAATCATTAGCTGACAACTTTCCACAGGCGTGCAAATGATCAAGTGCTTCTTGTAAATTGTCGAGAGGTTGTGTCAAGTTGCCTTTGAAGTACCAAACATTGTTCCATCCAGGTGCCAAGCTCGACACTCAAGTTTTCCATTTCTCCTAACGTGCAGGGCGGGTTTGAGCATTTCTAGTACAACAAGACAAAATTTCGTTTTTGTCATAATTTGTTTTCTCCTCGTTGGCGCCGGCGGTCGAAAAAAGATCTGCCGTCTTTCTTTTCTCTGGAGTCGGTTTGACTGGGAGAGTTGTGGCGATTAACTGCTTGTGCCGGTCGGGGGCAAAGTTATTCAATTGGTGCTGGTGTGTTAGCTGTTCACGTGTTAATTGGATCCTTATAACTTGACAAACTCCTAATCCCTATCATCAAAAGTGAGACGGCACCTTCAATTGGTTTAGTGTTCGAGCCTGTCAGAGGATCAAAACTGAGCATGATCGTGATAGGAGGTTTGATCCGTGCCAGGAAATAAATAGCTTTAGGCTTCAATTTTGTTTGTTTTTGTTTATTACTGATAAGTGTGTAAATTGGTGACCATTCGAGTAGGATCACCTGTGCTAATCTCGTAAGTTTGGCTTGATTAATGCCTCATCTGTTTCGAATTTGTACATTTACTTTATGGTCGTTATGGCCCCACGAGGCCCATTGAGGACATTGTAGTTCATTTTAATATCACAAATTCTATTTACAATTTCCAGTCTGTTTTCGCTTAAAGTCTCCACTGCCTATTCCCATTTCGCCCCATAAAAGCCTCTAAGCCCTTCTCAATTACAATAAACAAGCGCAAACAATAAGTCCCCCCTTCCTTATAACAGCAAAAAGATCAAATACCCACCTTACAACAAACAACCCCCCCCCCCCTCTATCTTCTCTATCTATTCAGAAACAGTTTCTATTTATACAATTACTTCATTTGAAGAGGGGGGATAGATAGTTTTCACCGCCTAACAAACAGCAACTACAACACCTACTGAGGAAAAATTCAATTACAATTATAAATTATACAATTCAATCGCAATTATAACTAGCAACAATCACTCTCTGTTAACTCGGAGTCTCGGGGGGATTATAAATGTGGCCGAAGTGGCTTATAAGTTAGTTAACCACTGTCTGTTAGGGACTACTAACAGTATCCTTTTCCCTTCAGCAATCAAATCACAGATAGTCCATTTCATTCCTAACAAGGTGGACAGACCAGACCAGAGCAGACCCAGCTGCTACCCCAATTGGACATCAACTAACAGTAACTGAACTATCTCTCTCTTCCTTTCATTGTTTCTTTCGTTTTTCATCTCAATTCCCAATCAAGCAGCTCTTAGTTGATCTTAAATTGAAGTGCTGCAGGCTGTCAAATTACAACTAGCAAACGACCATAAAACAGATATTAATCAAATTGGAAACCTGCTCATCTAAATCATCCACTTGAGGACCCTTTAATTCAGAATCAGTCTCAGTCTGTCTTCCACACAACTGTCCAATCACAACTGCTCAACTGCCCCACTCATATCTGAAAAGCCATCTCATTCAATTTCCTATAAATTACACTTCCCCATAGAAGTCTCCTTCGGATAGTTTTCCACTCATGAAATAGTTGGAACAAAACTAAAACAGATGGATTCTTTTTCGATCTCAAACTTGATCAAGCGGGAACCAGTGAAGAAGATGACGACAGAGTCGGCCAACCAATTCGCTCTTCTAAATGAGAAGAGAAATAATAGTTTCGACCAACTACACATTCAGCACACATTCAACAGGTCTGCAGGTGAGTTAAAAACAGAACAAAAACAAAACGGAAAAAGAAGTCAAGTTTAGGTGGGCGTCGATAAAAATTATTCTGGTTCCTAATCGAAAAGACGCCCTAATTTCAAAACGGTTTCACAAAAATAATTGCTATCAGAACGTTGAAAAACTTGTACACTGCAAACGGATTCATTTTATTCACTACTCGCTACACTGCTGGCGAAACCATTATATGCTAGAAACAGAGACAGTTTTTAGACATTTTAAAATTTGTTCTTTTAGTCAGGGTTGGCCATTTGTATTGTCTGTGTTCCTCTCGATACAAGCTCATTTGGGAGTTTTGCTAAGTTTTGGTGTTTCTCTAGATTTTAGTTTGTAAAATCAGTATCTCAATTATGACATGTTGTTGTTGAGCAGATGTTCTGAGTGAGAAAGACGGAGACAGAGAGGGGGAGGGGACGATGAGGAAGCGGGAGCGGATGGAGTCCACAGAATCCCACTCTTCCTCTGACCTCCTCCTCCAATCAGACAGAGACGTCTCCTCCTCCCCCCTTCCTGCCCACGACCACCTCTCCTCTGCAAACGCCTCTGCTCTCGGAGGAGGAGGAGGGGGAGGAGAGTGCTCCATCGTCAACGGCATCCGAAGGTAATTTTTCACTTTCACACAATTCTCGTTTCTCGCCTCTTTTTTTCGCTTCCTCCCACATTCCACAAAAAGTAATCTTTTGAAAAATACGCATTATTTTCTATGCGCTGAAGTTTCACACTATGTGCAAACAAGTGGAAAAAAAACATCAAATGGTTCTGAAGTTCAGTGTATCTATAATGTGAAATTCAGTCAGAATTATAACACGAGCTTCAAGATTTTGAATGCGAAGATTAGTATTACTGCTCTCGAAAAGAACAAACTTTGTATTAATGATTACTTCTTGTATGTCACTTTCAAATTAAATGTTTTTTCCAAAAAACTTACAACGCTAATCAGCTAGAAAGGAGTGACTGTCAACTTGTGATAACTTACAAGTCACGGAGGCATGTTAGGAAAAGGCGCTTTGCTTTCTAAATGCAGTTTAAGGTTCGTTTAAGACTTACTGGTGGCAATGGAACCAGGTTTGAGGGTAAATTTGAAAGTAACTGTGGTGAAAAGGAGATACTTGGATGGAATTCGTGTGTTTTGTTGTGCTAGGTATCGGACGGCATTCAGCAAGGACCAGCAGGACATTTTGGAGGCGGAGTTCCGCAAGGAGAACTACGTGAGCAGACCGAGGAGGTGTGAGATGGCAGCCGCCCTCAACCTCCCAGAGACCACCATCAAGGTAACTACATAACACAACACAACACAACACAACATAACACAGCCAATCGAAGATTGGAAAAGAGAGTAATGATAGCAAGTAAACATAAAAAACACTTACTTTGTTGAAAAAATCTCAACTTTCGAATTTCAAAGAAAAAAATAGATGCCCCTTTAAGCTCTTTGAATTTCTAGAATAATTTATGATTGGCGCTTTTTTGATAACATTAACCCAACTAGAGAAAACTGGATCAACAGGTAAAGTTTTTATTCCTCAGGGAAATCTAAAAATTAAATTCCACTTTTGAACTAGAAATCGTTCACATTTTTTCGCGCCATTTCCACGTTCGTTTTTGGAGAGTGATATTTACGTCACTTCCATCAGATGAACTTCAATTGAGCTCAAAAAGCATATAAACCTAAGTGCATTTACAAATGCATCAATATGTATGAATGCACATCTGTAGTTATTAGACACTTTTAAGACTTTTCCTGAAAAAAAATCAGCACGACCTATATAAGAGTCTTCACTACGTTCATTACTCTTAAAGATAACATAACATAACCCCCCTTTAGACATGTCTACCAACCCAATTTGAAAGCCTCAACTTATTTATAGTTTTGCTATTAATTTAAAAAAAAAAACATTTTTTTTTCTGTTTATAACTTCAGATCATGGATTTTGAAATAACTTAAAAACATTAAATTTGCTCGGTTCAACTTTAGATGCCCGCAAAATCAACTGCCATCACTTAAAATGGCCTTTAAATTTCCTCAAATAGACAATGAAATATCTCAACAGAGTTTTCAACATGTGTCAAATGAATAATTCTGACCAACTGCGACTATTTCATGAAGTGAATGTGTTTTGAATTCTAGGTCTGGTTCCAAAACAGAAGAATGAAAGAGAAGCGTCAAAAACAGACACTGGCATGGCCCCCTTTCTTCGACCCATACTACTACGGCTACTTGGTCCACAGAGGGGTCATACCTTCACAGCCCACTCCGCCCAACCCATTTGAGCTACAGGGGGGCAACCACCCGTCCCAACACTCATTCATGCCCCCCACTGCACCTTCGTCACTTTTGGCGCCAAACAACCCGACCGGCTTCAAATTCGGACACCCCATATTCGGGCAAAACATGCCCCTGAACCCAAATGCAGGCGCACTGAACCCCACCAGTTTGCCCAATCTACCATCTCTGAGTCATCTACTGCCACTCAATTTTGCAAATATTCACTCCCAAATGAGCCAACAAAACTCACTGGGCGCTCTGGCTAACTTGCAGAAGTCTATTTTTAACGCTCATAGTCTCACCAACTCGCTAGTCACTCCACATCCAACAGTTTCTTCAAACGACCCAACTTTCAACCCTCCAAACTCGATCCCAAATAAAACTCACCTCTCAGAATCAACGAACGAAACAAGTTCAAAAAACGACCAATCTTCTAAAGCATGATTATCAAAACCAGAACAATATAGAGCATTTGGAATAATTGGTTTAAATTTAACTCTTTTTGTAAATTGTACAATAAAATGGTAAATATATACCCCAACAGTAGTATGATAAAACACTTTTCTTCTTATACAAATTTATTCAATTATTTTTCAATTTAGTTATCAAATGTTCTATATTAGAATGAGTGTTTTTATTTTGATTAATTATGCTCCTGTAGTATGGAGGAGATCTAATAGATGAAGCGGAAAATACGACAGATTTGTTAAATTTAAAGGGAGACAAATCAGAAAATGTGTTTTCGAAGTTGTAAAGAATTCTGATTTGTTGAAATAATTTCGGACATTCGTTTCGTCCTTCTGGCATGAGGGTTTTCCCATTAAGTATGGACTGGATTGAACAACCCTGGAATGAATTGCTAAGCTGGCTGTCATTAGCAAACATATGCAGTGAGTGAGAGCTAGCAGCCACACTTTCTTTCATTCACTTCCGTCCCACAGATGAGTATTACTATCTGAACACCTGAGCATTGAGAGGGGATAATTATTAGGAACATCTTCAAACAATCAACTAATACTCACTTAATCCCTAAATCAACTTCACACTTGAACTTCAATTTAATGCACAGTAAATCAAACAAAAACAACCCTATACAAAATGCACTTACTTTTATATTATTTAATCCCTACAAAAACGCCAAAAATCACCAAAAACGATTAAGTGATTTTCAAAATGCTAGTTTAATGATGCATTTTTAATAAAAGGACATATTTTAACAGAAAGGCATAGAATAAAAAATGTTCCAATTGACTTTGTGAAATTGTTGGCAACAAAAAACCTCTAGTCGCAATTCATTTCCATAATAATGATGTAATTATTATTCACAATATGTTTTCTCGACTACAGAATAGAATTAGCAATGAAGAGACATGAAAGTTGGTCATTTCAAAGATTATTTCCCTCGTTATATCCATCTCTTGTCGGTCATAAAGAGAAGCTGCAAAAAATGGCTTGAATGAATAATGAGCAGATAATCACGCATAATGCAGCTCCTGAGATTTGAGTTCAATATTTAAGCTGCTTTGAAAACGACACGCGAAAACTTTCAACTTACTCAAGTATCGAAAGATATTAATATATTAAATACCTTTTTCACATCTTTGAGCCCTTCGTAATAATATGCCTGGGGCAACCGAAAATGGCTGACAAAAAAGTCGAATATTTGGTGAATGACAAGGAGACGGGTCTGATCTAGACAGTGATCTTAATAACGAGATAAGTAAACAAAATGAAGGCCTTTTGCCTGTAAACAATCAATTATTTCACACCTTTGGTTTTATTTTATATCATCCATTTTAGGCCGACCAACCCTTAAACTTTTAAAAGGCATCTTGGGCGCCAATATATATATATATATTTTGAAGGGGAGCGCGCGCCGAAAAACCACAATTTTTTGTTCAAAATTTTCCAAAAGTTCCCAAAAACGGCATATTGACCTTTTTTTCAAAAACTTGCCTGTGGTTCAAACATGTTGATCAAAATAGGTTCTTTGGAGCACTCGGAAAGTCAATTTGGTCGGCCTACAAAACAGAGATCCCCAACCCTCCTCCAGGTGCGGATCTAGGAATTTCTCGAGGGGGGGGGGGGGGGCGGATTTTCAGAAAAAAATTTAAAAATTTGTCGACCTTTTTTTTGGGCCGACCAAATTGATTTTCTGAGCTCTCTCAAAACACTATAAAGACCAAGACCGTAATTTTACCGAAGTTTCTGCGCCGCAGGCAAATTTTTGAAAAAAAAAGCCGAAAAAAAGGTGTTTTTAGGCACTTTTTAAAAATTTTTGACCAAAAAATCGCGTTTTTTCGGCTCGCGCTCCCCCCTCAAAATTAGTATTTATTTGCGCCAAAGGCGCCTTTAGAAAAATTTAGGGGTCCGTCAGCCAAAAATGGATATCTAAAAATAGTTCAAAGGGAGACCCTTTGGGTCGGCAGGGGGTCGAATCCCTGAGGGGGAGGCGTCCGCCCCCGAATCCGCCCCCCCCCCTAAATCCGCTACTGCCCTTCTCAAGAGATCTTTAATTATAAAGTGTAACGATGTGATGAACTTTATCCAGATATATTTAGCCAGTGAATTGTTTTCAATTTAAATGAAAAATTTATCGAAACTATTTTTGTGTTCATCAAATTTCAATTTTGATTGCAAAAACTATTTTGTAATCGATCAAAGCTTTGAAAAAAAAGCTAGTTGATCGTCAAAACTTTGATCAACAAAAAAACTTTTCCTGAAACTTTTATCTTAAAAAAACGACTAAAAAATGATATCTATGACTATAGCTTTTGTAATGGCTCGTTATCGACAATAACTTAAAAATACATTTTACACCCACCATGAATTATAAAAAATCAGCCAGTCCGTTAATCTAAGAAATTTTTTGATTTTAAATGCTCGAGAAAGTCAACAGTGCAGCTATTTGATTTCATTTTAATTCGATGGCACAGGTTCGAAGTGAATTTTAAAGCAAGCTGTTGAAGCAATGGAAACTTGAACAATCCAAGTTGTTTGGATAGCATAGAATGATTTATCAAAACTAAATCAAACACTTTTTTTGAAACTAACTATCACGCTATGAAACATTGAATGTTTCAAGTTAATTCAATGGCTTGAGTTGGTTCCGCAACAAACACTTTTTTAAAGTGATGCAAACTTGAAACATTTCAAGTTGTTTTGGAACTTCTTAATTGGAACTTTACATGCAGAGGCCGAGCGGATCTTCGCAGCACTTCGCAGCGATGCAAAAATGATGAAAACAGGAAAACCGAGAAACATTTTTCAAACATCTGTTTAAAATATCACCAAAAACTTTACTACAGAAAAACTACAATGATCTTAAACGTAAACTTTGAACTTAACTTAAACATAAGCTCAACTTTGCAGAGAAAGTGATAAGGTTTGAAAGCTAACTACAAAGCATAACAGAAAAAGAGGCATTGCAGTAATACTAACTGCTGGTATTCACGCATTTCGCCCCTCGCACGTTTCGCCCCTCTTAAATCTATTGGCACATTTCGCCCCTCATAAATTACTGGCACATTTCGCCCCTTAAAAGCACATTAAGAAAGCGGCGTTAAATAACTGTGTAATAAGTTAGGGGCGAAACGTGCGAAGACGAAATGTGTGAAATTATTAGGGGCGAAATGTGTGAGGGGCGAAACGTGTGACATTCCTAATGCTTATGCTGCAAGGCTAGGAAAATATCGCAGACTAATCATCTGAACACATTGATTCGACAGAAATACAGATGCGACAGAATATTGATAACGACAGAACTATACAGAGGCGAAGCTACACTTCGCAAATACTAGCGAGGGCACAACAAACAGCAGCTCTATAAAGTGCAATAAGAAGAAGCAGAAATGAGCCTCGAAAAAAATAGAACTTATTAAAAAGATCCGATATGTTATGTTGTAAAGAAACAGAAGCAGCTGCAAAACAACTACGTAAGTAGACCTTACTTTGTGCCTTCAAACGGAAGAAAGGTGGATCCTCCTCCACGATGAGAAGGAATTCCTCGACGGAGAGAAACGAAACTGTGAATGGAAACAGCACAAGACTTATTGCAGCCAATGCAAAACACACCTGCAAAAACTTAAAGTCAGGAAAAGTTTATCGAAAAATCAGATTACAAAACTGTTGCAAAAACATTTCTAAAAATTATACAAGCAACAAAATCAGCCTACCCCCAACATACTTTAAAAACCTGTCTGCTATGCATTGAAGTATTCTTCAGACATGCGATCGAACCATGGGTAAACTGCATTGATGAAAGAACTAAAAACCACTACCTCTCACAACGTCATTCAATTTTTCAGAAGCCCAGACAACTTAGATTAGAAACACAACAAATGTGTTCTGAAAAAACTGAAAGCAATTCTAAAAAAAAAAACAACTCTACTGACAATGAAAAATTTTACAAAAAAATTTCGAAAATCAATTCCAAAACAATTCAAAAACTTGTTTTTTATGAGTTTAAAAAAAATAAAAAACCAACTCATGGAACAAAAAACGAGAACTAAACACTGAACTTAATGAAAAATTAAATGATTTTGAGCAGCTATTTTGCGATCAAATAAAAAAAAATCCGATCAGAGAAGACCGAAAAATTGACTGAAAAAACGTTTTACCAAAAATCAAACAAAAAATATTAAAATATTAAATATAATAAAAAATGAAAAATACTGAAATCTTAAAATAATAAAAAAAGATTTTAGTACTGAAAAACATTTAATGGATCAGCCGTCGGAAACCGGTTGTTTATCAAAAAATACATACCAGGACTAGTGAAAGAATGGCTTTCTGAGCTACAAACGAACCAAGACATTGCGAACACTGAGCCACAGGCTGCAAAGCAAGTACACTTTCCTTGTCAGAACGACCCCAGACATTACACAACTGATAAAACCCATAAGCATGCATAGATCTTCGGGCGAAATGCCTCAAAAGAACGAACAAAAGCAGCGAAATTACCTTGCAGAGAAGGAGGCCTGGGTGTTACGGATCTAATATGCCAATTTCATTATGAGAAGTCGCTACACTAATACACTAACGCTCGCTAGTTTGAAAACACATTTAAACTTTTTCGGAGACTCAGAACATGCGATGCGACCAAAATGACAAATACATAATTGCAACAATTTGAACCATTTCCAAACTAAATGTAACAAAGTTATACAGTTTTTGGAGGCACCAAGCTTCAAAACCGCGCAATACTAAACTAGCCATCAATCTGCATTTGTTAGTAGCTAAGCCGACGGAAAAAATCTACTGAAACATGAAAAAAAAAATAATTCAACAGATGTTCCAAATGATGTAGAATTTTTCAATGAGGAGGGTCTGCGAAATTAAATTTGAGTTCTTAAAAATCGCTGTTTAAAACTTTGTCGTTCAAAAAAAGTTACTATTACAGGATAAAAATAGAAAACAGTTATTATGTATTATCTGCCAAACATTTCGGCGAGACAAAATCGAATTGGAAGAACTCGGATCGTACAGTACTAAGTGAACACATGCATGTACCCCTATATAGCAACCACGCGCGCAAATTCAATATTTCTAATTTTTGCCGTTCCGCTAGCAAATTTGTATACCGGAAAAGTACTTGATTACAATATTTGCTAACCACAAGGATGACAATACGGTTAAAACAAATTATTCAAACTTCAATTAACAAACAGAGGAGCAAAGAAGAATATTCATGTGTAAAGTATACTTACATGACGCACATTAACCAAGCCTACAAGTGCAACTAAGCTGGAACAATTTAATCGAATACAGTTTAAAGTTCTGCAAATGGATGACAGAGATTTCACCAGTAACACACTCAACAAACTGCACAGTTGTTTCTTTACTAATCTCAGTTCTGCATATACTTCTGCTCCACGCAGTTCATCTCAATTGAAAAACTTCCGATTTATCGGAGTCTTAAATACTGTTTCTTCAGATGAAGGGTCATTTAGAGCCACGCTCTCCAGCCGTGAAACAGTTTGCTCAAGTTTCCAAAGTCAGTGGCTTCTCTGATCAGCCAGCTCACTTGGCCCTCCACACTCAACATGTCCACGCCTCCAGTGACTCCGTCCATCCCACTCAACTTGGCCCCCAATCTGTCCATCACTCTCAGCGCTGATTGGTTCTTCTTCCGGTTCTCGGACTGGCCAATCACCGCAGCCATAGCGCCACTCCCATCATGGCCCACTTCTCTGTCTAGCTTCTCACTTTCCTGCAACACGCTCACTTCCACACATGATCATAACAAATGTTCACATCTTGAAAAATTACTACTATTATCTAGATTATGACTCGCAATTAGAAAACTACAAAACTGAAACTCGAAAACTACAAATTTAAGCAGCAAAATAGTGCGTGACACGCTTTTTGCTTCCTAAATTTTTATGACAATGAGCAAAAAGTATTTTTCCATATATTTACACAGAGTCGAAGTTGCACTTCGCATACACAACCAAAAATATGACCAATAACGCTACTGGGAAAAACTGAAAGGGTAACTCTTTAAGTCTACAAAATTTCACGCCAATTATGAGTCTACATAAATGCTAACTGACGCAAGCCAATTAAGACGCATTAGCAGTACCAGTCAATTTGAAAAAATAAATTTACCAACTAACATGCCTCAATTTATAGAGCGGACGCATTTAAACTAGTATACAAAAAGTTCATTGAAAACATCTGACCCTGCCCATGTTCGAACATTCTCCTTTTGTTTCGAGTCTCCTACCCTACCTCTACGCTACAGAACCATAGAACCTTGAAGCTAAAGTGCTATTTGTAATACAATAGTGTGTTTTAATATCATTAGCATTTGCTGTACTTTATCGCTGGTTATTGATCTTATGCATATACTGCAATAAAAGAGCACTTTTAAAAAAAGCAGTAAAATTTGCGACTTAGCTTGGAAAAAAGAGAGTTCGTAATATCACACAAGCTTTGCTCGTGTAATAATAAACGAGAGTACAACGCGGTAACTACGCCGACAATATTTATGTGCGCGATCGTTGCGCCAAACATCAGGCTTTAATAATAAGCCAAGCTATCTACTGATTCAAGTGATTGGCTCTTTTCGCCTTTCACTCAACGTTTGAATTAAAATTTTGAAAACTATTTCAATGTTATCATAATGTATTGAAAAATTGCCCCGTGAATAAACCAACTTTTGTGAACACGTCTATTGCAAACACAAGCGATGAATTAACAATAATGAGCTGTGAAAAAGAAATAAGAAAAGAAATGGCACTAATTAACCATGAAAAGGAAAAACGTTAACTGAGAAACATTCGAAAATACGACCAGGAGATTGAAGTCGCACGTCCTTGCATCTGCGTCACTGGCCCTTGAAAATTTGCTAACAAAAGCCATCAATAAAAAAGCTACATATGCTAATAAATTGCCACTGCTATGCAGCAAAAGAGATACCCAATATAAATAGACACACACTTTGCTTGTATTAAAATGAAATACAAAAAAACTAATCCACACTAACTTTACATGTACTAAATTGGAAAGCATTAAGCCAAATTGATAATTGAAAATTCAAAAACAAAATGCGAAATATTTTGCAGTGCAAAAACTTTTGATAGGCAGTTTTCATTCCTGTACTGTTGTTTGAAACGAATAGTTTTTTCGGTTCATTTGAGTTTCGGTTTTTTTTCGGTTCGTTCAAATTCGGTCCGCTTGTCGCATTACTAATCGAAGGTCATAGCACATGCTATCAAAAGCCGTAACAGTATCTTCAAAAGCCGTAACAGTGCCTCCTTCGCACCACTTGTGATACAATTAGATCTATCAAAATTAATAAAGGTAGTTGTGAAAATCAGCATGGGAACAAAATTAAGCAGGCGGCGAAAAAGCAGAAAATACTTGAGCAAAAACTCTTCCAGCCGAGACTTTTTTAAATTTAAAACTAATGAAAAATGTTAACGTTCCCCTTTCCCTCAAAACAGATACAGGCACATACAAAAAACTTTCAAGCATCAAACAACGCAAAAGAGAGTTCGTAATATCACACAAGCTTAGCTTGTGTAAGCAAGGTGATAGAAAATGCGGCCATAAAACAGAGACTGATGGCGCCCAACGGCGTTTTCTATTTTCTGATTTTAACAAAGCTTGAAAAATATCGAATGAAAAAATCGATCTTGCACAATCGATTTTTATTTAATTGTCAATTGAAACACTGTTAACAGTGTGTCAATTGCAAGTCTATGTAAGTTTTTGTATGAAAACAAAGCCAACCGGAAATTGGAAAAATGAAGAGAACAAAAAACCGAGAAAATTGATAGGATACTTTTAAACATTTTTCAACTTTCAAAGAAGACAATATATCAGGTTAAAGCTCTTTGAATTTCAAGAACTGTTTATGACTGGTACTTTTTTCTTAAAATTAACACATTTTAAAAAACTAGATTATTGGATAAATTGGGAAATCTAAAAATTAAATTCCTTTATGAAACTAGAAATCGATCAGATTTTGGGTTTTGTAATTGGAGAGCACATAGGCCTAATTTAAATACAACTCAAAAAGTTGCATAAATTAAAATTCACATTCATTAAATGTATGAATGTACTTCGCCAGTTATTAGAGCTTTTAAAGACAAAATCTTCAAAAAAACATACAAAAAAGCACCAATACCTCTGTAAATGAAAACTACTTCGTTCTTTTACACTCAAAAATGGAAAAAATCAGTCAACAAAAAAAAAGTAATTTTTGACGCTTCCTGTTTCAATCTCAGAAATGCAACGCTGAAACTAAAGTTCCCTTCTCCAATACATTTGAAAACACTGCACCAACTGTCTGAAAGAACACCCCAGATCTAATTAAAAAGACTCAACTCTGAGTAACTATTTGGTTAAAAAAAGTTCTCCTAACAATTGGAAAAAAGACAAAGAAGTTATAATCTCTTAAAATTTGGAGCTTTTTTGTTTCAACCGAAATTCAACCATAAAAGAAAGCTGGCAACAGAAATCAGAACCTTTCAAGTTATTTTCAAGTTCAGTTTTAACGCTGAGGCAAAGCAGAGCTTCGCACCACTTGCGATTAAAAATAGATGAATATTTAACTTTTTTGTTTCTCAAAATGAGGCAAAGCAAAGCTTCGCAAAATTTGCGATACAACACATACATCTTTCGAAATTTCACAGAGAAGGCGAAGCAAAGCTTCGTATTACTTGCGATACAACACATGCATAGCAAGACAAGATAACCGAAAGAAATTGAGAAAGCCGCACAAAAACTCAATTGTTTTTGAACAAATGTCAAAACAATATGATCTACCAAAAATCTTTCTTTGATTTTGTCCTAAACAGAAAACGTTTTCACAAAAGTAGGGCAAAAAATCAGAAAAATGAACAATAAATAGGCATCTAAACAAAACTTACGAAACGGTAACACATCCGACAATTCTTAATGCGCCGTATAAAAACTCAAAAAAATTTTTAAGTCCCCACGCAAAACATTTAGTAGATAAAGAGGCCTCTTAGCCAAAATATTGTAAGCCAAAACCTTTTGAACCGATTAAAGCGAAAACGAAGACGGAGACATCAAACTGATCTGCTGAACTCGGAGTTGACAAACTGAAATGGAGTCATCCTGTGAACAAGGTTGTTTACGAGAAAAAAGTCTAGTACCCGATTGTAACAAAAATTTTTGCTTATCACAAAAAGAACACAGAGACAAATAGGATCTTCGCAACACTTCCGAGATAACAAAAGCATGGCGTTACAAGATAGCGAAGAGAAAAAAGAGGAAGTTTTGGAAAATTGAGTTGAAAAATTACTTGAAAAAACTACACCTACGTTTGTATTGGACGATGTTCAAAAACAGCCTTAAAATACAGAGAATTATTTACTTCAGTCGACCCATGTTTAGTCAAAAACAAAACTGTTGTCAAAAAACAGTTATAAAGTTTTTACGACCAACCCAAACTGAAACACATAAAAGCATAAAAAACCATTTTTCCCTGAAAAATACGCAATTTAAATTGAAACAAGAAGCTGAGACCGTTTAAGAAAAAACTAACAAAAAACATTTACAATGAAAATATTCAAAATCAGGCTTGTTAAATTTACAATTTTTAGAACCTCCGACATTACAATAATCGCAGGCAGTCACTGTGGTATTCCTGTTTCCTACTTTAATTGCCATAGTTTAACTGAATAATTTTTTGACTTAATTGCCAATTTAAGCCCCAACAGTAAAACCAAAAAAAATTAAGAAACCGAAGAAAACACCGAACCTCAAACACTCCAGCAGTTTTAAAAATTGAGCCTCACGAACCAGCTGCCCGCAATCTGAAGCTCCAGAGGAACTCGGGCGACGAGGAACACTGAATTGTCAGATTCCTGTTTTGCAAAACCACCAATAAACTTGAAAATTAACTTTTTTGAAACCATTTAGGAATAAATTGCGTGCAACTCCAACTAAAGTTATTTTAAATTTGATTTTGATAAGATTTGATTTGATCATAAGTAATGTACCGATGCAAGAGATAATGCAATGCTTAAGTTTTGAAAATGTGTCAAAAAGTAAAAAAAAAAAAGAACGGACATTTTGCCAGTCCAAGGCTGATTCCCTATAAAAAGTACGGGGAACATACTTTAGCAAGGGATATGATAAAAATATCTCCTGTCGATTAGTTTCTTAACATCACAAGTGGCACAGTAGCTTTTAGGAAATTGATCGAAATCCAAAAAAATGGCCAAAAGGTCAAGTCTTGGACATTTCTTATGTCCATGGCAGTATCCTTGTCAAAATTGGGAGAATTAGCTTGTGCAGGTAATACCCTCGTAATTTGTTCCTTCGATTGAATCCTTAATCTCAGATTTTGCACCGTAGTATTAGAGAAAACGGGTAGGTTTTCAAAAACGGTCCAAATTTCGAAAAATTGACTTTTTCCAGTTGATTTTCTACGGAAGCAGCCGCTATGCAGAGAAAAGTTCTAGCAACTGTTGTTTTGATTATATCCTTCATGTTTCCAAAAAAATTGTTCTATAAATGTTAGAACAAGCAAGTGAATAGAAAAAAAGAACAAGCAAGCGAATAGAAAAAAAAAGAAAAAAGAGGAAACCAAAAAAAATTTTGAAAAATGATTTTTTCTAAATTCAACTTCAGATAAGCCGTCAATTTGACAAAAAATTTACAAAATAACTAAACGACTGTCATTTATAGTAAAACTTGGTCGAATTACACTAAATTAAGCCGCCAAAAATGAGCAGACAAACAAAAGTCCGACAATTCAAATTTCCACAGAGAAACATTCGATTTCATGCACGCTGAAATAAACAAGGTACGACTGGGATATAACTACATTTCAATAAAGTTTCACTTATTTCACTTCAAACCTAGTTGGCACGCAAAACTATCGTAGATTTGTAAAAACAAAATGAAATGGATAAAAAAGATAGCAATTATTCGAGAAACGGAATTTGAGTCGACAAAAATTAGAACGATAACCACAAACCGGAAAATTTCTTACCGAAAATATTTCAAGTGGAGATAAAGTCTATGTCTCGAATACAAGACTTTCGCTCTCGCAAAATTTACAATATTTTGTAACATTTCGGTATTTTTTGCTGGTGTATGTACCCACTAAAGACACATTACCTGTATCATCAGAGTCTTCGCCGGAGACAGAGTCCAATTGAGGAGGGGATCGTGAACAAGCACTTCAGTTATGGTCGCAATCACATTCCTGTGCTCTCTCAGTATCTGCATCGTCACTTCACATCCCCTCCTGAACGCCCCCTCCACCCCCGCAATGCCCAATGCACTCACCATGTCCCGGGTCAGGCGAAAGGGAACTGTCTCAGGCACTGCGATCTCTTTTCCCTTAAATCGAAAAACAAAAATTCCACACAAACTTTGGAACGATTAACTAAAAAATTTCAGAAATCTCTTGCTCGGAAGTTACTAAATTCTATTTCACAGATTTTAAATTATTTTTTGTTTAATTTATCTTTTTAACCAGAAATAGAGCAAAAGTACTTCCCAATATTCAGACTGAAACTCACATATCTGCTGTTCCCAGGCCTTCCCCTATAATTTTTAGCGAACAGAAATCAAATTGTCTGTAAATCTTATAACAATGCATGAGAGACAAAGTTTTAAAAAACATTTTAAAGTATCTATTTTTCTCTAAATAGTTGAAAAAATTTATACCTGGTGCAAATTATTCCATAGTCATACCTGCTCGAAGGCCATTCCCAGATCAATATGAACGACTTCTGCTGTTTGCTCATTGAACAGAATATTACTCGTGTGTCGGTCACCCAAGCCCAAAATATACCCAACTATACTGCTGACCGCCACGCTTCTCGTGTAGCGAAGTCGTGTTTGGAACCACTTTTCAGGAGTTGAGAATGTCTCCAGAAAGAACATGTGAAACACCGGTTTCACAGAGTCACATATTTCAGAGAACGCTTCCAAGAGAGCGTCTGCTTTCTGGGGATTTCCACGACTGCCAATTAGTTTATCACGACACTGCAAGATACTCAAATCTTGTGGTCTATAACGTGGATGAGCTCCAGGCTTTTTTGAACTTCCAATCAAATAGTCTGCAAGAGTCGTAGTATTTTCACACCATTCCAAAACTCCCGAGCTAGGAGCTATGGGCACGACTTTGTATGTCGCCATACTTAAGTTTCGTTTCTTGGCCTCGTTACTTTGGCCGAGTAACCGATTACATAATCTGAACACTTGTTGCATAACAGCATCCTGTCTTAAATCGTCGTTGCCTTTCACAATTTGACGAAGCTCGCTTCCATCTGACGTATGAACTTTGACCACCTTTGGCCGGTTTAAGCCTCCCGGCACTTGAAACTTCTTCTGGAACTTGAGGACAGTTGGGAAACTGGAATAGTCGCCATCTTTACACACAGGCAACTCTATCGTAGGCATCGGCACATGATGCAAATTTTCGATCTTCATAATTTTCTCCTGTCTCTTAAAATCACCTTCAAGGTATTTTTTTCCTTTCTCAAAATAAGCTGCGTGCATATAAGCATCAACTAAAGCTTCCACTGCTTTCAGCTCGAGAGGCTTACTAGATCGCAACTTCTCCACGACTTCTTTGCCCCTTCTAACTCTTTGACTGTCGGCTGTGTATTTCACATAAGCTGAGAAGTTGTTCACTTCTTTTTCCGAGTTCACAACAGCCAGCAGATTGTAAATACCGTGGAAAAAGTGCTTTTTACAAATCGCAATTATCATCTTTTGCAGCAAAATTTCAAATTCTGAGTAACCAGTGGATTTATTTTCGGATCCAGCTAACCTGCCGATGAACTGAGGCAAAACCTGGCCGAAACTATCAACAGATGCTTCCTCAAACTTTTTATTCAAAAATGAGTTCAAATTAGAATCATTGTGATTCTGGAACCACAGTGCAACAATTCGAAGCACTGAAAGGTCGTGCATTTCTGCCGAGTGTTCAGTACTTGACAGGCACAAAAAGTAACTTTCCATGGCTTGCCACAGAAAACCACTTCGCTGCCTCAAAACTTTTTCTTGTTCAGCCTTGTCAGTTTCCTGTCGCATTTTTAGCTTCTGGTAGTAACTTGTCTTTTCTTGGTTGTTTTGTTCAATCAAATCAAGCTCACGCTGGACTATTTTAATTCGTTCATTCACCTTCTGGCAATCCTCGCTTCTCAAATAACGCTGGATTTTTTCGTATTGCTCATCTGCAAATTTAGCCAACGTTAGGTAACAGTTTCGCAATTCGTTACGAGAACCTTCGGACAAAAAGAATTTCTCTTTTGCGCTCTCAATCAATTTTGTGATAGTTTCTGTGCTTTCGCTACATGATTCAGCCCCAAACTTTGCGAGCTGAAACTGGATTTGAGCTGCTTCAGTTAAACTCAGCTGTTCCGATTTAAGCTGATTGCTGAGCAGAAACTTAGCTCTAGGGAAATTTCGTCTCTTCCACTGAACTTTCGCTTTTATTAAGGCTTTTTTAGGCTCTCTCAGATCTGAAAACACATCCAGCAGTTTGTCAATTGCGCACAAATGCCCTTTCGCCAATAAATGCTCGGTAAAATTGAGCAATAGACTTTCACGTTCTCTTTTCAACACTTCCATGTCATAACTCGACAACTTTTTCATTTTCAGCAATTTTTGCAGAGTCAGATTTTGAAGGTTGAACAAATTTTGCGAGTCGCTCAATGATTCAAAACTTTGCCAATTCTCGATGAAATTGATTTCCGAATTACTTCGTAATGATTTGAGAATATCAAAAGTTTTAAGAGCATATTCATGATCCGCTTTCTGAGATGGCTCGCTTAGCATTGGGCCTGCCAATAATTTACAACAGTTCTCAAATTTTGTACCAATCAAATTTGACCCAACTTCATCAGGATCAATTGAGTTCAACAGACTGTAAAAATTAAGCTCTAAAGACTCTTCGCTTTCTAGAAAGTTGAGATGACTCCAGTTGGAAAGATGCTCGCTGTTGTTAGAGAGTAGGTGTGAACCAATGTTTCCAAAACTGAAGTTCGTATCTTCTCTCAAACCATCAGAGCAAAACTTAGAGAGTTCCACGAAGTCTTCAAAGGGGCTGTTTCTGACCAAGTCTGACAAATATTGCGGGCCACTTGACTTAATTGAAGGAATCAAACTCAGCATCTGTGACACTTTTTCACTGTCTCCTTGTTCACAGTGTTGAAATGCCATTAGCTGCAAATTGGTCGAATCATGTCGGTTCAAACCCAGTCCATCAGTGGTGTCTTCGCAGTTGGTTTTCAGGCCAGATTCGATCAACTGCTCGGAAAACGAACACGAGTCATCGATCGGAATTTGAGATCCGAAGCTTGATGCAAAATCTGTTTTGCTCATAATTGAAAAGTCAGCGAAGAAAATAGAAATTATATGGGAATTTAACTCGTAAGCAACTTTAGATAGCACATCGAAATCAAGTCTCAGCCAGAACAGATAGCTGGTCGAGTCTGAATTGTTTTTCTGAAACCGCATCAGCCCAAGAACCGAGTTGAAGAAAGGCAACACCTGATCATGCTCATTTTCGAACTTGGTCTTTTGTTTCTTAAGCTCAAGGAACTTTTCGAATTGATCGTTGAATACTTTGGATACTGCCAATCGCTGTTCGCCTGATAACATTGTAATGAGAACAGGCAGCAATTTCAACGCACAAGTGTTGTCAGCTGTCACAATTTCGCGTAGAAACTTGAAATCATTATTCGGCAATTTGTCAATGATGGAAAGCGTCAAAAATTGTGGGTAACTTAAAGCTGTTGTTTCTCGATCTTCACATTTGTTGTTGTTTTGAAGTTTCAAATTGACTATTTCTTCAAAAACAATTTTCAAATATGAGTTGACACAATCACGGTTAAAATTATGACACGCAGGAGCGATTGCTCTCAAACCGATCAAAGCAAAGCGTAGAAATTGTAAACTGCAGTTGGAAATATTTTCGAGAAGAATTTTAGCAATTTCGCGTAAATGAGCAGTACAGATTTGATCTTGTACAACTATTCTGCCGTTTTCGGATGCTTCGAATAATTTGCCACTTTTTTCTTGCTTTTTGAGACGATGCAGGTCGATTGTTTTCAGAAACTCAAGAAGATCTTCAGGTTTGACTCGAGCAAGAGTTTCTTGCAGGTTCTCATTTTCACAAGAGGCTTTTCGTATTTTCAAATAGAGTTTCTGAACTATATTCTTGTGGCCGGCATCCAGCATAACTTTACAAGACAGTGTTGTATTTACAAGTTTGGATACAAAATACGGGAGAAAGAAAGAACTTTCAGGACGATTGGAAAATAACCGAACAATTTGATCGAAATCATCCTTTACAGAGGCGTGTTTTTGGAACCATTTTTCTAAAAACAGAACTGAAAAGTTGGATTGCAAGAAATTGCAAAATAATTCAATCTGCTTTGAATCGACCAGAAAAGTTAAATCCGGGTTCAAGTTTAGCAAAGTTTCCGCCAGTTTTTCAAACTTTTCATGTTTGCCAGTTTGCAAGTCAAGTTTCAGCCGGTTTTGCCCACAGAACTCACAGATAAACTGCAGAAGGCCAGGCAACTCAAAAACTAAGAGCAACCAGTTGGTTTTTTTGAGCTCAGATAAAATTTCTTCTAAAGTAACAAAGAGTTCCCACAAGTTGACTGAACTGCAAGACGAAAGAATTTCTACTTGCATGAACAACTGACTTCGCAGCATAGCAAATAGAGATTGGAGGTAGAGATTGAAATGAGCCTGTTTCTCGTTTTCACTCGTAAGACTCGAAGTCAACTTGAGAAAGTTCAGTTGAACTTTCAAAGCTGCTATGGTTTCGAATGGTCTCGCTGCAAAACTTCCATCCAACTGCGACAACAACTGTTCTTGCAACTTGAACTCTCCTTCCAAAAACCTAAGCTGTTGTGTAGAGTTATCTAATCCCATGACTTCCAAGAATGCTACAATTTTTGTTTTCCCATTTTCGAAATCATTTCTAGACAAAATTCTGTGTATAATTAATCCAGCATATTTAAGATTCATCGAACTAACAAGTTCAGAACTTTCCATTTTCAGAAAATGTTTCATCTTGTTGACCGAAAAGTCGTTTTTAGCTAATAGATGGACAACTGCGTGGGGATATATGTAATGAAGAAAAACTACATTGCAGCTATTTAGCAGATCTTCCGATTCGACTACCGTTTTCTCAACTGAGCATGAAACGATTTCATGTGAATATATCTCCGGGTCAAAAAAGGTTAAAGTCGATAAATGTCCGTATTTGAAACACTTTACAAGCGGCTCTATAATCAAACTGAAGTAATTATGACTTGAGATTTCAAACTTTGAGGCGTAATTTGCCACAACTTTCTCAACATCGCCAGTTGAGAACATTTTGACATCTAATAATTTAGCGAGGTATTGCAAGCAACTGCTCTCGATGCTTCCGGTCCACATTTCAATTCCATCAAATAGCTTCATCAGACCACGGACGATAGTTTGCTTCTTATCATTTTTGGTTTCAATCATCGATTTCATATGAGATGCTTCTAATTTTCCGATTAACGAGCTCAAAACCAATTCCAGCATAGGCGAATTGCGGTTCGCGTATATTTTCAGTCCCTCTATGCAATGTTTAGAAATGAGCTTGTTACCTTTCAACAGTTGGTCGATTAGAAGCTCTGCAATCATCGAATAATCTTCTGAGTTCACATCTTCATTTTGAGAAGACGCGCTGGCATCTTCGCTCCAGGCCATCAAAGTGAAGTCAGTTTTCACTCTCGCAACTTCATTTGTGAGTTTCACAAGAGCTGATATTGCTCTTGGGTCTTTCAGTTTACACGTTCTGACCAGCGACCAAAACGCAAACAGAGTAACGCTTGGCACCAGAGAAAAATTGGACAACTTTCGGTTGAATGCTTCCGGTATCGTTAAATGGAAAATGTCTAAAATTCGTTCCACTTTCTTCGGATCTTTTTGATTTTGTTCCGAGAGGTTAGTTAGTCTCATCAGAAGGTAATCAAAGTCGCTATTTGGAACTTCTCTGAGAAAGTCTTCGCGACTCAATAAGTCTTCCAAAAGATCAAGCTCATTGACTGAATTTTTCACATCTTCACATTGAAATGAGATAAGACTTGACAAGCTTTGCGAGGAAGAGCTGTGTATATCGTCACCAACGATTAATATTAATCTACATATACACTTCAGTTGTTGAAGATAAAATTCATTAACGTCGGAAACTATGACAGAGTCAACGAAATTTCCCAGTGATTCTGTTATTTGGTCCTTAAGACAGTTCCCAATAAGGGATGATTTTGAAATATTTTTGATCATCAGCACAAAATCATAGAAAACTCTGTCAGCGAAACTGGACAAAAACTGTGAAGGTTGCAGTGGACACTTAAAGCCCTGCAGAACTGAAGTGACAAGCCTCGAAAGGTCTTCAAGAGCAACGAGCGTCTCCACATCCACATGTTCTGTCTCCGCTAACGTCAACAACAAAGACATAGAACTCATTGAACGCACTAGTGTTTGAGACTGATCATCTTTGCTACTAGAGACAAGCTGTTTATTAAATATCATTTTTGCATGATCTGCAAACAAGCGAACAATTTCTAAGTTCAATTTTTCATTAGATCTTTCTACTCCAAACTTGGTAACTTTCGCTATGATTCCATTTGCAATGTTTTTAATATTGCTTATTTTGGTCCAATAAGTTCTGTTTTCAAGTCCATGTTCAAAACAGTCTTTCATCAGCTTCAAAGTCTGTTCAAATGTTGACCGAATAACCTTGACAATAAACCTCTTTACCGTGTCATTTTTCAAGCTCCAAGAACCCTTCAAGTTTTTTTGATAGTTAGCTATCAAGTTATTGTGAAAGCCCCAATTAGCAAGTTTCAAAAAAGATAAACCGTTAACTGAACAACCAGCGTTATTTTCTTCTTCGAAATAATTCGTTAAAAAAGCTAGAAGTAGTTCCACGATCTCTGTTGATATCTGAAATGGTCCATGCACTATTTCACTCACAAGTTCCAGCATCTTTTCGCCAATATTAGTGGAGCTAATATTTTCACAAGCGTATTTGACAAATTCAAGAGTCACGTGGTGGCATAATTGACTTCTGAGTGCAAAACTGTCGAATTTCCTGAACAAATTAATAGCCAAATGGACCAGACGAAGCTTCAGTTCTTGTGAGTAGTCTTCAAATTGCAAGTATTTCAAAACCCTAATTAGTATTGCGCAACATCCTTCAGCAACTACTTTTGAGACTCCATTTGTCAAATGAATCAATAGCTCTGTTGTGTATGTCAAAGAAAGCTCGTTTGAGAACTCTTCGAAGCAACTGGCGTAATCTGCCCACGAGTTCAACTTCAGTTCCTTCTTTTGTCTTTTACTCGCGGGTTCCGCAACTTCAGCATCAACACAATTTTGAAAATATTTGGAGGACAATTTTTGGTTTAATAAAAAATTAGCCAATATTGCAACCAGTTCAAAAAACTCATCTTTTCTTGACACTCCCATTTTCATTTTTCTCGAAACTCCAAATTTAGGATCGCATTGTTGTAAGTCAAGTTCGATTGAATGAACAACGCATTCATAAATACAGTCTAGATTTTCTATGCAGAGCTTACCGATTTCTTCATCATTTGAAGAATCCATCAAAATTCGAGTGGTGATTGTGAGAAAAGACACCATTCCATCTTTGCTTGTCAAAGAACTCACAGACAGTTTCGACAAAGCGCCCAGAACTGCAGGTAAAATTGGAAACAAAAGCTCAGATATGATTTCAAAAGAGCCAAAAGAATCAAAAACAAATACAGCAAGATGATAAATCGTGCCTAAAAGTGACAAACTTTTATCCACTTTCGAGGCTGAAGAAAGTTGGTTTTTAAAGTACAAATAAACAGGAGAAAAATCAAGTTGTAAATAATTTTCCGTCGCACTTTTGACAAAAGCTTTACAGCCGGCTGCCAAGTTAGCCGGGTTGAAACAAAAGTAGTCGGACTTAAACAGGATTTTTGACAAACTGTTCCATTGATTGGGTTTTATTTCGTTGATACATTCTGGATTTCCAAGAACATACTTGTTCAATATCAACAAGTAATCATTTCCCAGAAGACTTCGAGCTAATTCGTCGTACAAAATCTTCAACACGTGAACAATTACTAGACTTGGCGTGATGCCATTGGCGGGTTGAAACAGGCCCAAATCTAAGACAAACTTGACCAATGAAACCACATCGTAGAAGTTTCTCGTTTTCGCTGCTTTCGAAGTGGTGAGCGAAGTGGAAGAAAAAGTAGAGTTAAGAGTGAGAGATGTTCTCAGAGTAGTATTGTTATTGTTCTGACTATTGAGCATTGCACTTTCTGCTTTTTCCAACTCCAGACAAACATATGTTCTCACATGTTCGAAGATCGAATCCCAACTCGAGCAGGAGTGAGAGGTGGCACTTCGAGAGTAGGGACTGCTCCCTCTCACTAGCTCCAGCTGTATCTCTCTGTGTTCTAGACATTTGCGCAGACTATCCGCTCCCTTTTTCCGTTCAGTTACCTTCAAACTAGTTAGTAGGGACAGAGCATTAGAAACATCTTCCATCGAATCTAGAAAGACAAGGAGACTACCCTAGGACAAATACAAATGAGTTCGCACTTCAATGCCAATCCACAAGCGATTGTACTCACTAAGCAATGAAACCCATCATTAAACTTGTCTATTGGTGGAATTGATGTTTAGTTGAAAGGTAGTTCTGAAACTAAATTTGCACCTTCCCTCTTCCCGGAAACACAAAAAAGGATTGCAATATATTTTCCCTCAAACGACCCAAAACTTGGTCACTAAGCCGATACAACCATACCAAAGCAGAAACAATTGAGGCCATACAAATTAAGCTTCTAAGCAAAAAAAAAACAAACGAAATCACAAAAAATAATAAGATATAGTAAATTTTCAAAATACAGGAACCAATTCAAAAAACTTTCAGATACAATGAAAATCAGTGATAAATCAAACTACAAAACAATCAGTGATGTGGCAACTAAGCCGACAAACAAAAGGCCCAAAATTTGGTCATGACCAGATTCTAGCCTAAAAAAAACAGGTGCTGACCAGGGTCTAGCCTAATACGTTTTTTATCCCAGGTATGGTCTAAATGCAGAGTGCGGGAGAAGCTAAGAAGAGGAGTTTATTATAGGCCAAGCTATCAAATGATTCAACTGATTTCGTTCAACCAGTTGCTAACCTGAAAAAGTCACATCCCAGTTTGATGCCGCTTGCAAATTGCCAGCCTAATAAATATGTTGGCAATGCGATATCTCGCAAAAGACTTCGCAAAAGACATTTGGCAAAAAACAGAAAAATTGAAAATTAAACAAAAGCGAGTCGCAAAAATTGAAAATTAGTTTATACCGCGACATTAGCAAGTAGCGAATGCTTGCTCGACACTTACAGTTGGCGCGAATGATATCATGTTCTTGAATGCCGCTTAATTATTGCTTTGTTTGGTAACTAAAAAGATGATGATTAATTACCTTTGCTTGCTTTGTTTGGACTCATCTGAAGATAATTGACTGCCACGTGTTTTTATTTAGAAACTTCGCTACAGAAAAGTTTCCGATTTTCTGTCGAAAATGCTAGCTGCATTTTTTGAAGTACTTTCACGTTGAGTTACTTCCTCACTCTTCAATCAAGTAGGAAGAAAGAACCCACGCTTCGCTTTCAATTAATAAGTGAAGCAAAATCAAACATATTTAGCAAAATGCCGCTCTTATTTTTCAAATACGCCAAGCTCCGCTTCGCCCCTGTGTATAATATCCGTTTCTATCATGCTTCACAGAAACGAATTTTATACACAGAGGCGAAGCAGAGCTTCGCATTACTTGCTATAAAACGAAAGCGTACCATTGAAAGCCACTAAATGGCCAGTAAGATGCAAATAACTAAGTAGAAAAAAAAATTGAAAAAAAAACCGGAAATACGAAAAACTCACTCACAGAAAAACAGACGAGAAACACAACAACTAGCATTAAGCTAACAACAGCGTCCACTAAGCTAACATAGCGTCCACTAAGCTAACAACACGTAGTTAGACGCCAATCGATCCGCAAAAATGCCAAAAAGAATTATCATAAAAAAATCAGCAAATTTTTTTTGAAAATAGGAAAAGTTCAATCTCTGACAAACAGACGAGAAACACAACTAGCATTAAGCAAGTTTTTAATGTTTTTCGTTAGACGCCAATTGACCCGAAAACAAAAAAATGTCGAAGGAAACTGTTGTCATTCAAAAAATGAGAGCGATTAAAAAGTTTGTACTTTTTTCCATACTACCAGCTGACCTGATTTATAAAAACTATTAATAAACTTTTTTCTATTCTTATATAATTTTAATATTCTTATACCCATGCAAAATAAGTTCAAAAGACCGACGAAACAAGAGCTAAAATCATTTAGGCCGAATAAAATTTTAATCTACATTTTGAGATTACTTGAGACTACAATGAAAACTGATTCCAGCGCAAAAAAGCTGTGGAGTGGCAACTCAGCCGACAAAATATAAGCCGACCAACTATAATCCGACTAATCAATTTTCCCCGGAAATTTTTTTAAATTTCAGACACTGCAAGAAACAAGGGCCTGCCGGGACTCAAAACCCAGACATACAGTTTCAAAGGCAACTGCATTACCTTCAGACCAACTGCAATGGATCCTGAAAGTTGCTAAGGTTCGATAATAAAGCAACATCAATTTCAATTACAAATGTGTAAGAAAAGTTGTTTACGGGAAAAAAGTTTAGTTTCCGATTAGAAGACACTTGCTCTCGCAAGGGTAAGACATACAACTTACATCAAATCAAAAAACACTTTCGAGTACAATAAAAATATCATACAACACATGAAATGTTTTAAAATAATGTGGCAACTAAGCCGACAAATCATAAGCAGAAAAACCATATGCCGATCATTTTTGATACTAATTGTTTTAGGTTTTAAAAATAGGCGCTGACCGAATTCGAGCGTAGTCCCTTAGCCGCCTACTAGTTTTCGTTTTTCGTACCCAGTAGTTAAATTTGAATTTTCAAGAAACTGAGCATGTTTGCTGCAGAATTGAATGCTGCAAAAATGATTCAGTGATTTTGTTAGGCTAGTTGTTAACCCGAAAAAAACGTCTATATTCCGCTTTGATGAACCTTGCTAATTGCAAGCGTGGTGATTCTATATCGGAGTATTAGTTTCTATCTGGGGTAATACGATTGAGGGGGAAAGTCATGTACGACAATTAGTAAGTCCTCACTGGATCAAAACCTCAAAGCGAAATGAGGCCTTTAGGTTAACATTATACAGCTTATTATAATGTGTTTCTGAGAGCATAATCACTCCTTTTTCGAGAACACTGGCTGGGTAAGCAGACGCTTTAACTTTTTGATTTTGTAAGTCACCTGCTTCTCAAGCGCGTTTCATTTCAAAATCAGATCGGATCTGAAATGACGACTTACCTTTGCATAAACAAACTCTTGATCTTTGCGAACTCAAACGTACAACCGAACGTGATACTAGCGGACGTGCAATCAGCACAACGTATACCAATTTCATAATGGTAATTTCTACCGATTTCAGTAACGTTTTTTTTCTCATTATTTGTGAAGATCATCCCACATTTCAATGTTTCACAGAGGCACATCAGAACTTCACATCACTTGCGATACACTACAAACGTAGCATGACAAAATAGGAGACAGAAATTAAGACGAAAGTCGGGGAAAGCTAAATCTTACAAAACTTCCTTATCTTAGTCTTCAATAAAGTTCGCTAGTTTTAAAAAAAATATGACACACAAGAAAATAGAAAGTTACATTTTTATAGAAACAAATCGGTACTGAATTCAACAATTTTTGAGCATTAACCCGGTCAGCCACAAAAATGTTTTCGAGTCTACTGTTTTCGATCTTCTATAAATTCATCTTTTTCTAGACAGAGGTTCAATTTCAGGAAAACACGATCTAGAGACGCGATCATCAATGTTAAATGAACAAGCAATGTATTTACAGAGAGGTCACTTAACTAACAATTTTTGTGCAGACGCCTGGTGGGCTGAATACAAAGTTGTCACACAGAGGCGAAGCTGAGCTTCGCACCACTTGCGATACAACAACTATAGGATGGGTGCACCATGCTGGAAAAAGAATTAGCAAAAAAAAACTTCCAACGATGTTAAAATTGAAGAAGGAAGTGGAAAAATGAAAAAAACCTTAAGAAATATTTCGTATTTGAATTTTTAAAAGTTTTTCAAGGAGGTCCTAGTGGGATTGAAATTGGGCATTCAAAAATTGGTGCCAGAGTCTTATCGATATCAAAAGTACTACATTTTAAGGAAAAAATTCGGTAAATAGGCCGACAGATTTGAAGGCGACATCCAATAATCTGAAATTTGGCCGAAAACGTTTGTCAAAACATATGGAAAAAATTTCATGTAACGCCCACAAAGGATCCACGAGAGATATCACGTTTAGTAGACTACATAATTTGGAAACTAAACCGATAGAGCTTAAGTCGACAAGCATGAAGCCGAAAAATCATCGACAGAAAATTAATTCAAAACTCTATATTCAGATATACATTAGCTTGATTTCTAGATATCTAAACATAGCATGCAGTAGTTACTAGTAACCCAGCATGCAGTAGTTGAACTTAAATTTTCATGAAATTGAGCATGTCAGCATGATGTTATTCAACTGATTTTACTAACTAGTTTTTAACCCATAAAAAAATACAATCTTTTTTGAGAACGCTTGCTAACCGCAAGCTTAATAAATATTTTATGGCCATAAAATACTTCGACTGAGTAAAATCAAGTTTGAAAACTCGAAGACGCCTTACCCCTCATCAAACGTTACAAAGCATAAATAAGCATTATCAATTCAGCAAAAAAACAATGAAGCAAAATCAGAGTCAAAAATTATATAAATAAGGAACCATTTTCAACACAGAGGCGAAGCAGAGCTTCGAACCACTTGCAATACAACACAAACAAAGAAAAACAGAAGTAGGAAAAAAATTTAAATGTTGAAAAAAATAGGTTAACCAAACTTTTCGTATGTCTAGATTAAAAACAATTAGGGGCCCAGCTAAAGCTGGAGGTATGTGTTTGATATTGAATAAATTCGCTTTACTGATGCGGTACGAAAAATTTGATTTTAAAAATTTGATTTTAACCAAAACCTTAGTTGTTTCTATACTAAAAAAAGTGAGGAGAGCAAAACATTTTAACACAATCAATTATCCCAAGAAGATGACATTGCTCATACAATTTTCGGGAGCCGCCGCTCCATTATCGTCGGAACCATTATCGCAAGCATTATCCATTTTACTGTCGGAGCGATTATCGCAACCGGTTCTTTCAGTTAAACTTTCTATCTCAGATTTGATCTCAAAAATTCGAAAATGGTCAAAAAAATTTCCAAAATTCCTGACATTTTTCTGCAAAGTGCAGATTGTGGCTGCTTAAGCGGAGAAAAACCCCAAAACCAGGTTTCTCGATAGAACAAAACGTGCGAAATGACACGGTAGTTCTCGCGGATAGTCAAAAAATTGCAAAAAAACTAA